AAAAAAAAAATTTCTGGTGAGATGAGACAGGCATTCACGAAGAGGCCCAAGGTCTGACCTCACAGGTGGGTGTCTGCCATATTTTATTTTTGATCTGCTAACTCTTATTTATCTATAAGAAATAAATGCCTTAGAACAGATGAGACCATTAAGTGATCAAGATGCTACCTCATTCTCCCTTTTTTTTCCCCATTGAAAAATTGTCCTCTGGGGCTGAGACAAGGAAAAGAAACAGCTCATTTTCCACTAATAGCTGAACTGAAATCTACATTTTTCTCTTAGTATAAAAGTTCAAATAAAAATAGTTGTATTCTGTAATAAATAAAGGAAATCAGCATTTGAATAAGCTTTAAGAGAACAGATATCCACAGTTTAGATGCTAACATCATCAGAGTTCAAATTATTGTAATTCAGATCCAGTCACTATTCTAAAATGAGCTAGCAAGCAGCGTAAGGCGCTGTTTGCTTGTTTAAAGTGTATTCTTCTAGGCACCCTATACATGGCAGAAGGCAATGTGGTATAAGCAGGGATTTTACTGCCTACGAACCATCATTCCTTTCCATGTGACATGTGAAAACTATAAATTTATCATCAAATTTATACATTTTGAATAACTACACTGAAAAGCGCAGGATCGAGAAAACACTGCATACAAGTTGATTCATGATAGCTAGGATGTTTTTAATAGGCCTATAGTCTGTTGCAATTTTTCCAAAGGGTAAAAATAAACTCTTTAAAGTAAAGTATTCACCTATTTGATATAAATAAAACCTTTCATGCAGAAAAATGTTTTCCCAAATGGAAGAGTTAATGCACCTCAAATGTGTGAGAAATTTGCTTCCAATTGTGCAATGTTTGGTAAAGTTTCCATCTTACTTTTTAATTATAGAATTTGGGGTGAATTCTAACACATTACTTTATAAGTCATTGCTAGAAACCAACTCAATCTCATAGTTGCAATGATAGCTAAGATAGCTTTTAAACAATCTTTTTCAAAATTTTTCCTTGTTTTGGCCTTCGACCAGTGAAAGTGGTTTTTCCCTGTAGAACTGCTTGACATTCATGAGTTTTGCACCTTGCCTGAGTCAGCAAATGACTTCTTGCTGAGAAAAAGCTGTAATTCTCCCTAATTCGGGAGATGATGCCCCATGGATGTCAGCATAAACTTTCCTTCAATGCAACCTAATGCCATAAACTTTTAAGACTAATCTGGGATCCCCATTCACTCTAGGGCTCCATTGCCTTAGTGTCAGTGTGACTCTCATTGTGCTTCTTGCCCACTCTCTGCGCCGCTTTAGCCCGTACTTTGCTCTTGTGCTGCCTGGTCTGTCTTGGGAAATGCCCTTCCTTTCCCCACATTCCTGTCTTCCTCCTGTTCAGACATGATTATTTAGTGGGCCCCCTCTAGACTCCCCAAAGAGTCAATTTATCTCCTGTCTATATTTTCCTAATAGATACAAATACAGCATCTTAAATCTGAAAATCTAAAATCTGAAATGCTCCAACATCTGGGACTTTCCGAGTGCTGACGTTATGCGCCAAGGAAATGCTCACTGGACCATTTGGAATTTCAAATGCTTGACTATATAGTATAATGCAAATATTTTAAAATCCAAAAAAGTCTGAAATCTGAAACACTTCTGGTCCCAACACTTCAGATGAGGAGTAATCAATCTGTACTGTCTTTACACTACAAAGGATGCCTTAGCCCCTCTGATAGGTGGTGTCCTGTAGTGTCTTTATTAAAGGGGAGGAGCTGGAAGACAGAACTGGGTCTGCCATTTACTGGACATGGGATGTTGAGCAGGTCTCTGTGACCTCCGGGATCCTCTGCTCTCCCATCTGTACATAACAATCGCACCTGCATTACAACCTTACTGAGAAGAACAAGAGTCCCCAGCGCGGTGCCTGTCACACAAGACTTGACATCTTAGCATGACCATTACAGGATGAAGGACAAACCCAAAGATGGCAGGAAACACATGGTGCTCTTGTAATTTGAAGAGTTAACACTCAGGTTAGGATCTCGCATCATGTGATTGCTTTAAGAAAGAACATGGGGAGGTGGTGAACAGTGGTAAACAAATACAAAGCTCACAACTCCTGCAAAAGGGTGGATGGGGCTGCTTTGAGGATAGCTCAATTTGGTTGTGATGAATGACCCATGAAAATAAATTGGATATTTCACAAAACTAAGAAAAGCAAGCAAGGTAGAGACATACCATGTCTCAGCTGCAAAGAGAGTCTCTGTGGTAGTGTGGAGACCTGGAGTTCAACTTGTTATATAAGAGAGACTTTTACGTAGCAGAGAACAGTCCAGTGTTAGCTTGTATAACAAAACTTCAAATTGAGAGTCCACTTTATTTAAAACCTCTTTCCATTATTTTTCATATAAAATGTAAGATAGGGGAAAGGGAAAAATGAGCTATGGAATTCATTTCCTTCTAAGAAAGAAAATAAAAAACCAATCACAACTATTACCAGAAGAACACCTTGTCTAAAACAAAATGCCAGCTTTAATGTATGCTGTATGCAATGCCATTCAAAGGCCTTCTTGGGTGAGAAAAGCATTTGAATTTTATTTCTTTAAATAAATGTAACTATTCTTGTGTGCATTTGTCTAAGACCAGAAGACTTTCTAGGTGTTTTCTTGACTAACTTGAAGAGAAAACTCAGTTGTTACTGCTTGTTTTTAAGCAAATCAAAAGCCATCTGAGGGCGACAAACAAATCAAATGATCACTTACCCGTCCTAGTCTGTGAGACCAGAGTGAAGAGAGAAAAAGCTGCCTTTGTGTTCACAGAAAAGACATTTAGAAACAGCGTTTGTGTGCGTGAGCATATGTTTTCCTTTGTTCAGCTGGGCTGGGTTTTAATTCTTGGATTGGCTTTTCCTCTTGCAGTGAAAGCAAGGTAGCAATTTTTCTTAAGGAACTGGCAGTGATGTGCTCAGTGCTCAGCCCCCTCCTTTTGACAGAAAGAGACTGAGGGTAGTGACTAGGGGAGGGAACTGCTCAGAATCTGTCCTTTGGGGCTGGAGGCAGCTTCTAGAGGCTGCCAGTAGAAGGGTGGTGTCAGCAACTTGTGGGTGAGCCGCAGAAAATGGGTCCACACACCAAATGGATCACACCCACGGTTTGTCTGGCATGGCGCAGCTCAGACAGACTTTTGATGTCCTGCCTGGAAAGTAAGTAAGCCCATTCCCACTCACTCCATGAGGATATAAAGATGTTTTGATGTCATAAAAATTCCTGGTATAGAATTTTGCCTTTTGGCTTACTTTCATTTAGTCATTTTTCAGACTAGAAAAGAGAGAAGGAAGAGGCCCAGCGATCTGACGTTCACAGCTGTCAGGTGGTACAGAGGTGGCAGAGAGGCTGTCCTCTCCTGGGTGGGCAGGCAATGCTAGCTGGTCAAATTTAGGTCCTATGTTAATGAATGAGATAAATAAAAGAGGACACTTTTTTGTTTTATCACATATAAGAATTCCTGAAAAGTTCTGGATGACAGAAGTTAATGTATGTTTTATTATAACCCTTTTTCCATTCTGTTCTCTCTGATAAACTATACAGAATAGCCAAAAGTTTAGCTTTAAAAGTAGGCCCTACAATTTCAGGGTTAAATTAAACTTCTTAAATTTTCAATGAGCTGAGTGAAAAATTTCCCCTTTGTTTCTTTTTTCTGATTCCACTTTCCAAACCCAGCATAAGACCCCTGGTCCCATAAAATTCATCCCAAACTTTGGGTAGCCCAAGAGTCCTTTTATCCCTCACTGGTAATTCAGGGCTATTGTAAGCGAGAGACATTCTTTCTTTCCTTTTTCACTTAAAAAACATACGAAACCTGAATAGGCTTGAGGCTGGCCTAGGGGAGGGACTGATTTTTATTAGTAACAACATAGCTATTGACAAATGCTTGAAGACAATATTTTTAGAAAGAGAAAGAAAGAAAAGGGTTTCACTTTATGCCTTAGAAGACAGATTGGTTACAAATTAATTTCTGAGAGGAAAGACTTACAGAATAAAATAGCCTAACTTCTCTCTTTCTTCATCATACACAGGAGAAATGTAAACGAAAAGGACATCTGGAAAGGAACATTATTCAGCAATCAGAAAGTAAAATTCAAGCCATTGATGTTTTGATGGAGACAAACATAACTAGATTCACAAAGAGGAAAGCTGTAACCTATTGAAGTTAAAAAAATTTCATATGCATTTTACCTTTTGGGCAGTTCTAGAGCAAAGTTCTATTTCAGAAATGCTTTGTAATATGAAGCCCACTGTAGATAAGATACAACGTGCAGACAGTCTGCTCCACTGCAGCAGGGAATCAAATTGGTTCCAGAAACAAAGTCACACTACAAATGGTTTAATAGTATTGCAGGAATTGGAGGGCTTGACTGAATTATTTTTATAATCATTTAAAAAACATTTTGAAATAACTTTGCCATACCATGTAGATATGGGGACATGAGGAGTGACACTGAGGTTGAGAGGCATCTCATTTTATTGGCCTTTTAGCTAAAGTGTTATAGTTTGCTATTAAGAGCATGGTGGTGATTTATTGTTAACTTTTGTTTGCCACAAAGATCTTCAGACATACAATATTTACAGATAAATGTGGTGTATTAAACAGGTTAACACATACAGACATATTTCATTGTCATTTCCAAGTTATTTTTAGTTTTCATATAAGTACATTTAGCCTTGCTTTATTTAAAAAGCATCTGAAAAAACTCATTAACTTTTAGGCAGGTTTTAGATTTTATAAGGAGAGACTTTTAAACAGTTAGCAAGATGTATTGCTGACAAAATAACCCAGTGCCTAATCCCTGTAGGTGAAATGAAATCATTCTTCCAACTGAAGCCAGAAACAAGTTAAGTATCACTTAGACCACAGCCCATGAGATTTAAGAGAAATCATAGCTAAATCGGATGTGACTAGACATTTAGGACTATTTTCCAAGAAGTCAAAAAACTTTTTTCCCCTTTAGTACTTACAATCTTTGAAGACCACAGCCGGGTCTCTGTGAGGCAGGACCTGGGCGATGATGTGTCTCAGAGACTCCAGAGTCCTGTCCATCTTGGTCTGCCCGTGAGAGCCTCCTGCACCCTGTCCTCATGCCTGGATTCCTGCAGTCCTGGACTGAATTTGTGCAGCTCATTGATGCACTGGATTACCCAAGAATCCCTTTTAACATCTGCCAATCAGACATTTCCCAGAATCTAAAGACCCCTCAGGGGGCCTCTCCCCAGGCTCACTTATCTTTGTTGTGTTCCGAGCTAATTAGCTCGCTGGGCTGGCTGACAGGCGTCCCCACGGCCTCTGCTGCTGAACACACCCACCTACAGGCCGGCTGGGGAAGTTGGAGACTGCTTTCCTCTCCAGCCAGATTTTTTGCCTGAATGCCATGCAACTTACTCACTTGAGTATTTCTTTAGCCTTTCACGTTCATTGAGTTATCCTCAAAATGTGAAATCAAGAAGGTTATTTCCTAAGGAAATATCTTAAATAACAAAGGATCTTCCAGCTCAGAACTGCCAGCTACATATTATCAGTACAATCAGTATAAATCTAAATTTTCAGTGTGTTTCTCCTTTGATAAGGGAGTGCTATACAGATTGTGGATGTAGTCAGTCACCAGATTATGCTTTGTGTTTGAATTCAGGAGCTTTTCTTCTGGAAGACCAGGCTTTTTTCCCTCCTCCCACCCCCATTATAGTTACTTATGCTGGGCAGTGGCAAGGAGAGTCTGGAGGACATCTCAATGCTGCCTGGGAACTTTTGTTTCCCTCTTTATCCTTCAAGGCAAACCATTCTCAAGATTGGCTTTAATTAATTCTGATATCCTTCACTTCCTTTCGTTTCACGATAAATTTTAAAATTAAAAATTTCAAGTTAAGAAAAAATATTTTTCAAAAAACACAGCTATTAAAAAATCTTAAGAAAACAAAGATTTGTTTTCTACCTATGTATGTTGTACACTATCCATAACAATTTGTTAAATAAATTTTCCACAAGAGACATAAACACAAGCTATGGGATTCCTTTGCAATATTAAGAATTTACACCAGATATAAAATAACTAATTTTAGTGGTATTAACCTGTTGGTTGTTGAAGTGTTACTGAGAAATTTTAAACTTTTATTTAAAGTATTTTTCCTGGGTAAGCACAAGAGATTGCTTTCCAATGTTTCTTCCAATTTTCAAATTCCGTCTGAAGCTGTGTTATAATTTATGTGAACTGAAATATGTGCTTTAAAACCACATAAAGACAAAACACCTTCCATGTGATTAGTTTCTTCAGCTAAATGGTAGGGGAATGGGCTTATTGCATGGTAACAGAAGGAATGGGGGCAGTAATAATAATTATTATAATGACTATCACTTATTAAATGCTGACAGGTAAGTATATACCACACAGAAAAAAGACACAGCCTGCCCCAGAGCACAGAGACATTGTTATAAAATAAGAACTTAAAGTCGGGTATGATAGTTCATACCTATAATCCCAGCACTCCTGTAGGCCCAGGCAGTGGATGGTTTGAGGTCAAGAGACCAGCCTGAATAAGAGCCAGACCCTGTTTCTACCAAAAATAGAAAAAATGAGCCAAGTGTAGTGTCAGGCACCTGTAGTCCCACCTACTCAGAAGGCTGAGGCAGGAGGATTCCTTGAGCCCAGGAGTCTAAGGTTGCTGTGAGCTATGACACATGGTACTCTAGTTGGGATGACAGAGAGAAACTCTGTCTCAAAAACAAACAAAAAGAATTAGCACTTCCAAAGCAAACAAAAAAAGTAGCAACAAAAAAAGAGGCTTGTTTAAATAGGGCCTCAAAATGCATTTCAAATGAGTAGTACCAGCTAAGAAGTTGTCACATCCTTGCTAGTTGCAGAAACTAGATAGTTTGTAGACAAAAAACTATTATTTGTTGATTAAGCCCAAAGTATAAATGAATGCAAGTCCTTTCAGTGTGTTATTGAATTGGAAACCAAGGTATTTAATGTTCCCATTAGAGAACCAGGAAAAAGCAATATGGGCTTCTTAAAGGAGAATTCATGATATAAAAAGATAAAAATAAGAAATGCTTGGATTTAGATCAATAAATGGTCATTTTTATGGGCTTAAATTTAATTCTAGCAGTACTTGAAATATTTGGATTGTATTTAGGGGAAGGGCCAGGGATTTGTGATCAATAAGGCCTAGGGTTTGATGTTCATTATCTATGTAACCTCGAAGAAACCAGTCACCTTCTCTGGGCTCAGAGTGCTCACCTGTGAAATTGAGGATGAAGCTGGGTGTTCTCTTTAGTCCTAATGTCTATGATTCTATGGCTATATTACCAATGAATGCAAATATCATCACAGAATTTTTTAACCTTCTCTAACTTTACATATGTATTTCCTAAAGCAGAACTTGTCTTCAGACAAGTCACTTCTATTCTCACGGTCAGTCAACCTGCTGGATCTCCATCCATCAATATAAGAGACACGAATCAACATGATTATTCAAAGATGCTCACCATTTTGCTAACTACAATGAAAGGTAAGAATTTATTAAGAAAACTAATCTTCAACTTCCATAAGATTGTTATAAAGAAGGTCAACTATAAGCATGTCCATAGAGAACCAAAAACAACTTTTCAAAGATAAGTTTACATAAATATTATGATCTTTGAGGAGAAGGAAATTAAAAAGGAATTCTAAGAAACGGGGATCATATAACACCCCCGTTGGAGAGTATAGTTTCTTGGAGGCAGAGGCTGGGCAGGTGAGGAGGAGGTGGGCCTGCTGTGGAACTGGTAGGGCTGGTCTGACTCTAGGTCCAGAAAGGCTTCAGTTTGAGGCCAGCAGGCTCTAGAGAACAGGCCTGTAGGGACAAGGCTTGGGCCAGCTGTGCTGCTCACCCCTAAGGAATCAGGTGAAGGGGGCACTTAGGGAGTTACCTTCCCCAAACTAATTTCTTCACTTACTTGCCAATGCCTTGATTCCTAAAAATTTACAATGTATGATAAAACAGGTAAAATAAAAATAACTAAAGTCATGTAGTTACCATTACCATGGAGAGCAAGTAGTTGGTAAAAATAGGAATGACTGACAGCAGCCCATCTGGACCCCAGCAGAAGATAGTGGAGGGACCAGAAGGGCCAGAGTGAGGACTGGAGGTCAGGGCTGTGTCAAGGTGCTACCGGGAGCATGGGGGGAGGAGGCTCAGTCAGGGCTGCATCTACATGCTCCTAGAGACATGGGAGGGGGGAGGGTAGGCTGCCAGGGGGAAGGAGAGGAAGGGTCAGGACTGTATCCAGGTGCTCCTCAGGGTGTGGGGGGAGGAGGGTCAGGGCTGTGTTCAGGTGCTCCTGGGGGCATGGGAGGAGGAAGGGTCATAGCTGTTTCCAGGTGCTCCTGGGGGTATTGGGGGAGGAGGGTCAGGGCTGGAACAATCTGTGTCCAAGCCATGACTAAGGACTGTTTAGTGTCAGCTTAGTTTGGCTTGGACTGAGGAGGAACAAGGTAAAGAAATGAGTGGCTGTTCAGAGTTTATTTACTTACTCACAACTGGGAAGGGAGCCACTGGGGTGTTTGGGTCAAGGTATTTATGAAAGGAGCAGCTGGAAAGGTAACTTCTGACAGTTTCTAGGTGAAAGTTTAAAAACACAAGTAACATTAAAAAAGCCTCTTTAGTAAAAAAGCCTCTTAGCCTTTTTCCTCTTTAGTATAGTGGTTAGTATAAGAAAAAAATATAAAAAAAATTTATACTTTTGTCCATTGGCATTTCACTACAGTTAGGAAATTATCAATAAGAACTAATCTGTTGACATGAAAAACATTTAGAAAGTTGATTAAAGTCCCATTTACAGATGAAAGGACATTCTTTACTGTTACAGATGAAGAAACGGCCCCTAACAAACTGCCTTCTCTTGGCCTTGCAGTTGGAGAAGACCCTTGTAACAGAAAGCAGAATGAGGGTGACTCCACTCACCTGCCCCTCCTGACTGTTCTGTGCCCTCAGGAACCTTGAGCCAACAAGAGTCTGTGTTACCTTGTCACCTTTACATAGCCAGTTATGCTGACCTGTCTTGGTATTTGGTATCTGAGAGAAGTAAAATTTATTTTTCAAGGAATAACTTAGAGGCCAAAATTGAGGGAAGCTTTGCTAGTGTATGGGTTTACAATTTCAGGGTAAACTCAGAGTTACTGAAAGTTGGGAGAATTTGGATGTTCAAACTTATAGGATCACAAGTAATGATGCTGTCCTTAGGATCACTAGAAATGTGCTCCATGAAGACTGATGAACTGTAGTTGGCTGACTTCCAGCATAATATGTACTTTGAAAAAGATAGTTTTAAAGATTTTGTTTGGTTTGGGTGTCAATTTTGTGTAGCCTTTACAACAGTATTTTCTCTTTCATAAAAATTTACCTAATCATTGGGTCCTCTCCTTCCATTTTCTCAGACACCTCATTCCTTACAAGGACAGAAATTTACATCTTGGGTGTTCAGGAAAAGCCTTTATACAAGATGTAGCTATGAAATGATCAGATGGATCCCAGAAGAGCAACCCCTTAATGAAGAGACAAGGATGTGGGGTGCTGGGGGGGAGATATGCCCCCTTACCAGGGCAACTGGAATTGCCTTTTTTTTTTTTCTTTAGGTAGTTATTTCTGGGGGTAGGAGTTGTATAGAATGTTTAAATCTTTGCAAAAATAATAAGCCTATTTTTTTTTTCTTTTTTTTTGAGACGGAGCCTCAAGCTATCCCCCTGGGTAGAGTGCCATGGCTTCACAGCTCAGAGCAACCTCCAACTCCTGGGCTCAAGCGAGTCTCCTGCCTCTGCCTCCCAAGTAGCTGGGACTGCAGGCACCCACAACGCCTGGCCATTTTTTGGTTGCAGCCATCATTGTTTGTTTGGCGGGCCCAGGCTGGGGATTTGAACCCGCCACCTTAGGTGTATGTGGCTGGCGCTTTAGCCGCTTGAGCCACAGGCACCGAGACTATAAGCCTATTTAAATGAAAATAGACTATGAAAAAACGTTAAAACAAACCTAGGGAGAACTTTAAACAAATGATTTAACCTGGAGATTGACGGACATGCTAGATTCAAGCAACACAGGAATTTCGCAGCTGCATGTATTTCAGATGAAGTTTCCTGTGAATATCATTCCTCACTGCAGCATTAATTCAATTCTGTTAGATAAAAGCCCATTTGGTCCCCCTCATAGTGTAACTAATTGCCACTGCACTTAGCCTGCATTATGCTGACAAAGAAGAAACATCACTTCTTTCCAAAATTTGTTTAAAGGAGA